ACACACACACACACACACACACACACACACACACACACGCGCGCGCACACACACACACACACATAAATTTTCTTCATAGGATAATTAAAAAAAATAAAATACAGAAGAAGCCGAAATTTAAGACACACAGACCAAATCTCAAATACTTATGGAGACATTTTCAGTTTTTTTATGCAGACAAGGCGGCAGAGATGCAGTCAGATGGAAACCGTCAGTTACAGATGAAAAGTCACTGCCTTCCTCCCTTTCTCTCGCTCTCCGTTTCCCTTCCATCCTCTTCCTTGTTCTCCCTGCACTTTTGTACNCCCTAAGAGGACACGTCCCTCAGATGACACATGTCCTCAGAGGACATGTCCCTAAGAGGACACGTCCCTCAGATGACACATGTCCTCAGAGGACATGTCCCTAAGAGGACACGTCCCTCAGATGACACATGTCCTCAGAGGACACGTCCCTCAGAGGACACACGTCCCTCAGACGACACATGTCCTCAGAGGACACACGTCCCTCAGAGGACACGTCCCTCAGAGGACACGTCCCTCAGAGGACATGTCCCTCAGAGGACCTGTCCCTCAGAGGACCTGTCCCTCAGAGGACACGTGTCTCATGTCTCTTGTTGTCTCCAGCTGCAGCCTCTCTTCCTGCTCAGTGTAGCTGATCTGTTTCTGGCCGTCTGCTGGGTGATCGGAGCCGCAATCTTCTTCCAGCCCTGCGGCCACCTGAACACACACTGTTACAACCTGCACACTGTGGAGCAGGTAACAACTACACACTGTAACACAACTACACACTGTAACACATCTACACACTGTAACACAACTACACACTGTTACAACCTGCACATTGTGGAGCAGGTAACAACTACACACTGTAATACAACTACACACTGTTACACAACTACATACTGTTACACAACTACATACTGTTACACAATTACACACTAACACAATTACACACTGTAACAGAATTACACATTGTAACACAACTACACACTGTTACACAGTTACACACTGTAACACAATTGCACACTAACACAATTACACACTGTTACACAACTACACACTGTAACACATCTACTCACTGTAACACAACTACATGCTGTAACACAACTACATGCTGTAACACAACTACACACTGTTACAACCTGCACACTTTGGAGCAGGTAACAACTACACACTGTTACACAACCACACAGTGTAACACATCTACACACTGTAACACAATTACACACTGTTACACAACTACACACTGTTACACAACAACACACTGTAACACAACTACACACTGTTACAACCTGCACATTGTGGATCAGGTATCAACTACGCACTGTAATACAACTACACACTGTTACACAACTACATACTGTTACACAATTACACACTGTTACACAACTACATACTGTTACACAACTACATACTGTTACACAATTACACACTAACACAATTACACACTGTTACACAACTACACATTGTTACACATCTACACACTAACACAATTACACACTGTTACAGAATTACACACTGTAACACAATTACACATTGTAACACAACTACACACTGTTACACAGTTACACACTGTAACACAGTTACACACTGTAACACAGTTACACACTGTAACACAATTACACACTGTAACACAATTACACACTAACACAACTACACACTGTTACACAACCACACACTGTTACACAACTACACACTGTAACACAACTACACACTGTAACACAACTACACACTGTTACACAACTACACACTGTTACACAACTACACACTGTAACACAACTACACACTGTTACACAACTACACACTGTTACACAACTACACACTGTAACACAACTACACACTGTTACACAACTACACACTGTTACACAACTACACACTGTTACACAACTACACACTGTAACACAACTACACACTGTTACACAACTACACACTGTAACACAACTACACACTGTTACACAACTACACACTGTAACACAACTACACACTATTACACAACTACACACTGTAACACAACTACACACTGTTACACAACTACACACTGTAACACAATTACACCCTTTAACACAATTACATAC